AATGACAGACAATCAGGGCAATGACACATTGTAACAATGACAGACAATCAGGGCACACATTGTAACAATGACAGACAATCAGGGCACACATTGTAACAATGACAGACAATCAGGGCACACATTGTAACAATGACAGACAATCAGGGCACACATTGTAACAATGACAGACAATCAGGGCACACATTGTAACCATGACACATTGAGACAATCAGGGCACACATTGTAACCATGACAGACAATCAGGGCACACAATCAGGGCACACATGTAACAATGACAGACAATCAGGGCACACAATTGGGCACACATTGTAACAATGACAGACAATCAGGGCACACATTGTAACATGACAGACAATCAGGGCACACATTGTAACAATGATCAGGGCACACATTGTAACAATGACAGACAATCAGGGCACACATTCAGGGCACACATTGTACACAGTGTAACAATGACAGACAATCAGGGCACACATTGTAACAATGACAGACAATCAGGGCACACATTATAACCATGACAGACAATCAGAGCACACACTGTAACCATGACAGACAATCAGGGCACACATTTTAACCATGACAGACAATCAGAGCACACAGTGTAACAATGACAGACAATCAGGGCACACAATTTCTGGGTTGTCATCTGTAACCCGTGCTGATTTATGAGGTAGCTAGGTTCCGACTCCCACCCCGCTCCAGGGTCCCGATCCACAAAGCTTTCGTAGCGCTACGGAGTTCGTAAGCCATGAAAAACTATAGCTCGTAACGTTACGAACACTTTGTGAATCGAGACCCAGGGCCTCGTTCCACAAAGCGATCGTAATGCTACGACTGTCGTAAATCAATGTTTAAGTATGGGAGTTACGGTCGTGTTAGGGTTACGATCGTTTTAGGGTTACGATCCCTGTGGGGAACGGGGCCGTGATCATGAGGGTGACACGCCAAGGTATTGTCTGGAACCCGCTTCACGTCAGACTTCCCTCTCACACTTTCCCGCCTCCGACGTGATCCTACCGAAACACTGTTCAATGATGTATCAAAACAAACTCACCAACCCCAATGACTGATCAGTTAATGGGAAGGGAAACCCTTGATCACGTATTTTATGTGAATGAAGTGTACATGCACCCGTAAAAGGCAGGGAAACAGTGTTACTTATGATAGGTACAGTGTGATGCGTCAAAGCAGCATAAGAAGGGTGATCAAGTTCGTTTCTACATGCGAACCAATATCATGTTCGAAGATATCAAAATAACAGCAAAGTAGTTCAAGCTTGATCAAACTGCCCATTAAAGCGCAGCGAAATAAACAATGTTAGCTTGCACTGAAATACTCATGTAAACACTGCTAATGCGAAACATACCAGGAACAACACCAATATGCAGTCGTGCAACGAATATCGATCCCCAGAGCTGTCAAATACATGAATCTTCATTTACGTGCAGTTCACCCCAGATGGCCCGACAAAAACATGATCTAGCTGACAGGAATGTATAAACAGATATTTCGTCGAAAACCTACTGTAATACTGTGCTATAAAACATATATTTCAGCTTTAAAACACATGATGCTTATTTTAATGTTTTCAATTTCAAGAATCTAGTTTCCGGACACCATGTGTGGGAGGCACAGCGGGGGGCGGCGCATGCGTGTTTGTGTGAATGAGTGAGGTTGAACATCGCTTTAAACATTAAGTTCGGGAACTCGACAATCCGTAACCAAGAGCGCTACTGAGCAGTACTTTTGGACAGGAACTGGCGCTATATCAATGTTTTGATGATGATGATGATGATGATGATGATGATGATGGTGGATGGTGATGATGATGATGATGATGATGGTGATGATGATGATGATGATGGTGATGATGATGGTGATGGTGATGATGGTGATGGTGATGGTGATGGTGATGATGATGATGATGATGATGATGATGATGATGATGATGATGGTGATGATGATGATGATGATGATGATGATGATGATGATGATGATGATGATGATGATGGTGATGATGATGATGATGATGATGATGATGATGGTGATGGTGATGGTGATGATGATCCATTGTGATTCGTACCAAAACTTTGTTAGCTGGTTGGCTGGTAACTCCCCACCCAGATTCGATTCCCTGCATGGGTACAATGTGTGAAGCCCGTTTCTGGTTTTTCCCCGCCGTGTTATCGATATTGCTGGAATATTTGTAAGAGCGGCGTAAATCTAAACTCACTCACTCGTATTTCAAACTGCATCTCATAAACAGACCTATTGAAGTAATATGCAAAGATCCGGAAATGATGTTTGAGAGAGGGGATATGTCGTGGTGACGCGGATGTGTTGTTACGAACCAACAGCTTAAAACTCGAAGACACGTTTAATAAGTTTAGTAGCTTATGAAAAGTAGCTGCTCAACACCACATCATATTTTATAATTTTTATCAAACGGAAACATAAAGGCTGGGAATTTATTGATGTCAACTTCTTTATAATGAGGAACACGAGGCTTCGGATTATATTCTTACTCTTTCATCGTTAAACATGTTCTCACCAAAGATTTTGTTTGATTTGTTACATGTTTGTTTGTTGTTTAACGCAATATTCCAGCTATATGGTGGCGGTCTGTACATAATCGAGTCTGGGCCAGGCATTACAGTGATCAACAGCATGAACATCGATCTGTGTAATTGCGATTCGATGACACAATGTTTGTGTCTGTTGTACATAATCCATATTCATTCTTTGTTGTATATTTTCAGTAATGGAGGAAATAAAGAAGTATTTATATGATGAAACAACTATATGCCTCCTCGGCTAATTGAGTAAAATAAATTTATTTAATTTTAATTTTGCAAAGATATTAAAGAGGGAATAATTGATTGTCACGTCGCAACACATTTCTAACTCGTAGGATTGAAATGAATAATGAATGATGGAAAAGTATCTGTGCTAAAAATAAATTGCAATCAAAGCGCAGAAAAACAATTGCAGGAAAAATATACTTTTCATGGTTGAATACGCAACAGAGACGCAGCCCTAGACAGTGGATTCCGGTGCCTTTGGTGACTGGGCCAGCCCGGCTCCGGTATTCAAGTACATGTAGATTTAATTTCAAATATACTATTCAAAAAAGGAAACGCATAACCCAGAAAACTGTTGCAAAATGTTGTATTTCCAAACGTGCATAACTCGTCAACAAATAGACTTTAGTACATGAATTTTCACATCAGTTTAAAAGAAGGAAATGTCTATGCAACCAAGTGGATAATTTTAGATAACGGAGACGCTGAGCGCGATGGTGACGACGTAGCACGGTCCCGACGTCGGGTCTCCTGGCTCTCAGTCCAATCTCTTTCAACCTGTTCCGTACAGCTTGACCGGATATCCGCCGAAGTCCAGGCACCCTGGTTACTGTGCCTTCACCCGCGGCAGTACGATCACGCAAATGTAGTACCCGGATGTACCGATCTTGGGCTGCAGTGGTGACTCGAGGTCTGCCTGTACGGGGACGGTCATTTGTTATACCTGTTTGGTTGTAACGAGCTGCAAGCCGTGATATCTTGCTCAGACTAACATTCAGACGCCTGACAACAGAAGATTGGTAGTGTCCAGTGAGCATTCTTTCCATGGCGATGTTCCGTGTCGCAGCGTCAAGACGTGGCGTAGTTATTGTCCCCCGTCGCAACGCGGAACGGGGGACTGTGTATTCAGCGGCGTCCGTCCGTCCTTCCGTACGTACGTCCCGATACTTGTTAACGCGATATCTCATGAACTGTTGTACCCAGTGTCTTCACATTTGGTGACAGACTACATTAGGAGATTACCCAGACACCAGTCGATTTTGGTGACCTTGACCTTATTTTCAAGGTCACCACGACACTTTGACCACTTTTGAAACTCTTGTTAACGCGATATTTCATGAACTGTTGTACCCAATGTCTTCAAATTTGGTGACAGCCCACACTGGGGGATTACCCAGACACCAGATTTTGGTGACCTTGACCTTAATTTCAAAGTCACCACGACAATTTGAACACTTTTCAAACTCTTGTTAACGTGATAGCTACTAAAACATTGCACCCAATGTCTTCAATTATGTCGACAGCCTACATTGGGTGATTATGCAGACACCAGTCATTTCAGGCATCTTGTATGTGACCCCCCCAAAAAGTAGTAAATGTGTAATAAATATTCCATATCAGTGGCAAACACTTGTTTGACCATGAAACTCCTTCAAAACGAATGCCGATTTCCGAAAGTAATCTGGATTTTTATAGCCAGACAGTGCATGCTCTGTGCTGCACAATTTCAACTGGAAGGTGATTTCTGTTGCGTTGTGGTGATGTCTTTTTAATCCTTGTATATAAAGAAATCTCATCAAAATCAACATTTTCAGGAAAAGTCAAGGTTTACTTGCGCAGTTGTGTAAAATCATGTTATCAACACTTTTGTTACATATTTTGGCGATTGTTTAAACACAATAGGTAATTAATAGATTTTGAAAAATACAAAACGCATATGGTTTCTTCCTTTTTTTGATAGTATTGTTTGAAATTAGATTATAATATCAAGGGGTGCAGTCTCTTGATACAACATCACCCAAAAGTTTGAAAATTGTGTGTGGGTGTGTGTGCGTGCGTGTTATATTAATTTACTGTAAATCAGGAAGGAAACACACTGCGAAATGACCGAATAATACTTACTGAAAATTTATGCATTAATGTCGATACGGCATCTGTTTCAAAGACATGATTTGTATCACGCAGTGAAGTGATTACTGAGCACATTACAAGAAGTGAAGACAACATAATCTATTTATTTATCTTGAGAATTTCAAATTATGCATACGGTTTGCAAATAGGTATGAGTAATATCTTCACTAAACAGAAAACAATCAATTTCCGTATTTATCCAACAGGTGCCTGAATCCATATTTTGTAAATACAGAAGATTTGTAAGCGCGATATTGATTGGTCGTTGAAGGTGAAGGTTACCAGATTGTTGTCAAATGGCGACTGTGGCCACGGATGTGTGCCTCCTACTCGCCGGTTCCTTGTTTTATCCTTCATTATATTACGTGCTGAGGAAAGGTTTACAACGTATATGGAAACAGAGATTGTCTGTGTGTGACATTTTCGAACTGAGCTTACGGTATGTTGTCATATTCTGTCATCAGTGATCATAGAGCTCTCGGTATCCTAGGTGGATCGCCCATCGTAGTATCACTACGAACTAGTGATCTTAGATACTGATGCATCTCCAAGTTATTCCTGTGCGCTCTGTCATAACCCTTATTGTGTATTACGCGCACATTTTTGTGGCAGTGGATAGACACTAACATTAAACATTCATTAAATCCTTAGCGTTGTCTACCTTATTTCAGATATTTTTAGCCCTGCCTACTCCCCCTGAAGCTTTTGTTAAAGAATTAAATCAAATATTTTTTATTTTTTTATGGAATGGGAAAAGGGACAAAATAAAAAGGAATAATATGATCAGGAAATATGATGAAGGCGGTCTAAGAATGATTGATATCAATTCTTTTATTCAAGCCTTGAAACTTTCTCATTTAAGAAAATGCTGCCAAAATCACAACTTTATGAACCCAAGCCAGTTTCCCTTGTCTGAATTTTTCTCATTGGGAGCAAATATTAATATCCGAAATAACTGTAAAAATCCTTATTGGAGAAGTGTTCTGGATGCATGGTCAAACTATCTAAGAATCGAGAAAGAACATCCTGATAATATCAATTACATCTTATCTCAACCCCTTTGGTTGAATCATCAGTTTAAAGACAAATCCTTCTTTATACAAAACTGGTACCACAAAGGGCTGCATTGTGTTAGGGATGTTTGTAACACAAGCGGCCTAATGACTTTCAATGAACTGAAAAACATATATGATATCAGGGGAACTTTCTTAGATTATCACAGCAAGCTATGTAGCATCCGTCCTAAGTGGAAACAGTGCATCAACCAGCAAATGTGTATTATAAAATCTAACCTGACAATTGGAAACAGTTTACTCGATTTGCTTAAGCCTGGAAAGGGCTCCAGATATTTTTATGATAATATCATCACCTGTGATACGTGCCCCACAGTATGTAAAAAATGGGAGGAAAACTTTAATCTTGACTCTTAGTATAGGGGTTGTACAAAAGATGTAAAACTTTTCGAATTTCAATTTAAATTTCTTCACTGCATAGTTTACACTAAGAGGGAACTAAAGGTTATGAACCTAGTAAACGATGATATCTGCACTGTTTGTAAAACTGACCAGGAGGACTTAGCTCATGTTTTCCTTCGATGTGAATATGTAAAACATTTTTGAGTGACTCTGGAACTATTTCTGAATACCCACATTAATATGGGTATAACTCTGGATACCAATGCAATCCTTTTTGGCTATCCAGACCAATATAAATTGCTGAATCACCTAAGCCTACTGAGCAAAAGGCATATTTTTCTTTGCAGTCTAAAGGGCAACACCCTAGCAATGGATAAGGTTATAAATAACATCAGACAAGTTTATGCCGTTGAAAGGCATTGCTTGTAAGAACAACAAATATAATGCCTTTGAAAAAAAATAGTCTCCACTCACAAATAGTTTTAAACTTTAATATTAAGTAGATGTATTACATATAGATGTTATTTAGTATTGGCTTTCAGCCACAGTTACTACTCGATGTAAACAATGTACAATTACTGAACTTTGTTGCTCAAACAAACCTGTACAATTTTAATCAGATAAATTATGTATGATTGTTGTATATTACTGTGACTACAGCTACTGACTGTCTTCTCTCTGAGAATTTTGTACCACTTCTGAGTCTTAGGATCCATAACCCGTAGATTTTTAGTCAGATAAACTACATCTGATGGTGTTTACTATTGGCTTACAGTTATATACTTACTTCCATGTGCAAACACTATGCCTTTTTGAACCTTTTCAGGTCAATATGTATACACATCAATAGTCAGATAAATCACACCTGATATGGTAGCCTATTAGCTCATAGTCATAGAGTGACTCTTCTTGCAGACTTTCTGCCACTGTTCAATTATTGTATTTTCAAACATGCTTGTACATCTCTAAGCTGACAAATTACATCTGATCGTGTACACTATTGGCCTTTTGGTTTGCTATAAGCCTATAGCCATATGTGCCTTTCTTGAACTTTGCATCTCAAACAGTCAGATTGTCTGTCTATATCTGATTTTATGTATCACTGGCATACAACCTTGAAGTTTACATTCTCTGTCAAACATTGTGCCAATCTTGAACCGGATTGTACCAGCCGGAGATAGAGTATATCTGGTTTTATACAGCAGTTTTAAATACTCTATATCTGTACAGCCATAGAATTACTTCATTACACTTTTCAATGTCCATCTCCTTGAACTTTGTTATGAAGCTTGTACAACAAGCTGATGCCTGTTCGTACCCATGTGTTTGTACACATTATACTGGAATAAAAAAACAAAAAAAACAACATTAACCATTCCATCATTATCATCATCATTATCATAATAATTATCATAGGGCCATCACAAATATTGAGAATGAAGTAATATCGTCTCTTATATAGTTTTACATCTCCAGTTGATTTTGAAGTAGGCATTTGATATATTTTTATTTGTTTGATGTATGTTTAACTTCTGTTAAAAGGCCATTGTTTGTTGTTTTAAGGCCAGACTCATAAAAATCAGGTTTTGTAATTATGTAAAGCTGGGTCCCGATCCACTAAATGTATAACAACCGTAAGGCTGTGATAAACTGTTCTGGCCACCAAACAGTTATCGCCATATTTTAGTGGCATTTACAAAATTACTCTGTTGTTTGTTAAATTAATGAAACAAAATTAATAAAGTTTCTTAATTAGCTATTCACCGATGTGTCCAGCCCTTTCGCTGCTGCTGATCATGTTTTGATGCGGCGGAAGGGAATCATGGCAGTATAAATAGATGTTTTCTCACAACTAACTGTAACAGTTATCGCCATTTAGAATTTGTCATGCCATTCGTGAAATAATATATATATATATATATATATATTTATATCATACAGTAACCTCGATTAATTGGTTGTGTGACTATTTGAGTGTTTCTTTTACAGTCAATTGATAGGGAATGAAATGATTAATGAATTGTGAACTTGAACTTGCTATTATATAGCTTAAAATTTTGTTATAGGGTTCATTACTTTATCTTTAATATTTCTCTTATGTTACTTAACGTGAAGAATTTTCTTTTGCTGTGTTTTATAGTTGTCAAATACCGTGGGGAAAAAATACCAGAATAGTAATTGACTGGAACTGCGCACGTGTGATACTGATGTATTGGCGATAACTGTTACGCAGCGATAACTGTTCGCTAGCCAGTAGAGTTACGACAGGTCATAAAATTACGAACACTTTGTGGATCAGGACCCAGGCCTTTAATCAAGTCCAGACAAGCAAGGTTCTTTTTGGTTTTTTAAACAGTCCCAAACGTTTATTTTTTAATGATGCAAGAGACCGGAAAACATATTTTGTATTTTTATGGTCTCTGTTAATACATAATCATCCAAGTTTATCTGATCTGTTATTTACTCAGTGTGGCATTTATAGGTTGCTGGGACCCTGTTCTAACCTGGAATCAACACAAGTGTATTGAGAAACTGATACATCCTTCACATTTGCCTGGGTATTTTACATCTAAACAAATACCCTTGAGAAAACGGTTTTGCCAACAATCAGATACCACAGAACAATATGTGTAGAAAAACTGTGGTCCCTGCGTTCTGGTCTAATTACCTGAACTTTATATGCAGTTACCACCACAATTAAGATTTCATAGATTTTGTGTCTTCATGGTCTGCAAATATATGAACAAGCCAAAAGCATATTAAACAAACACAACACAGATGTCTGTTTACTGGTGACTTATCCATGACACATTACTTTGCTGCCATCATATTTCTTATGGATGAACCCGTGAAGGTCCGGTTTGAATATTAATCTTCAGTAACCCATGCTTGTCGTAAGAGGCGACTAAACAGGGATCGGGTGGTCAGGCTCGCTGACTTGGTTGACACATGTCATCGGTTCCCAATTGTGCAGATCGATGCTCATGATGTTGATCACTAGATTGTCTGGTACAGACTCGATTATTTACAGAGCGCCGCCATATAGCTGGAATATTGCTGAGTGCGGCGTAAAACTAAGCTTACTCATTCATTCTTATTGATGAGGGTGGAATAAAACAAACTATAAATGGACCAATTTTTTATAAACAAAATTTATGAATTAATATTATAAAACAAGATCAATAATGTTTGTTTCAGATGTGTCTCGAGTATCCAAGCACTCATATCGTGTGTGGTGGGAGTGCTCATCATCACATCCTGCCAAGATATCATGTATGATCAGTGAGTATTGCTGTCCACATTATCCCTGTTGTGATGCGCCTTAGAATTGATCTTATCTTCAGCAACCTGTGCTGGTTGTAAGATGAGATAAACAGGATTCTGTAGACAGGCACATTGACTTGATTCATGCACATCATGTCGTAATTGTGTGGTCCAGGTTTGATTCCTTACACATGACCATCACATAACCAGAATATAACAGCAGCATTAAACTACAAGGAAACAATCGAAATCAATTCCAAATCTTCCATATACGTGTGATGATTGTTGATTTCCATCAAAAGAGTTTATTATTATATATCTGAGTCGTTATTATCCAACAGCAGTTGCTGTTGCTGTAATTTTGTGGGATAAAATAGTTTTAAAAGTTGTTCATCGATAAGAAACACTAAATTTGATAGAAGAAGGCTATCAGTGCTTCTTCATACTGTACATGTGTGAAGCCCATTTCTGGTGTCCCCCGCCGTGATGTTGCTGGAATATTGCTAAAAGCGGCGTAAAACCAAAACTCAGTCAGTCAGTCTTCATACTGTACTGATTGTATATTGAAATAAAGTCAATTAATCTTTTCTTTCATTTATTCCATCATTCATTCCAGTTCTACATTCATGTTCTGAATACATCTTATAGCATGATAGATTTGATAACTTGCGAACAGATGATTTAAAGACTATACTTTCAAAGACAAAGATGGTTGACTGCAACAGATATATGTTTACAAATGTTGCTTATCGTAATATGAGAAATAAAATGTAAATGTACATGTATATGTAAAGAAATTAAACTGTTTACATACCATTTTATCACCTCTACACACATGGTCTACATTCAACATTCTATGGTGCATGGACCGCCTCCGTGGTGTAGTGGTTAGAGCGTCCGCCCGGAGAGCGGAAGGTCAATGGTTCGATCCCCGACTGCGTCATACCAAAAAACGTTAAAATATGGTACTTGTTGGTCCCTGCCTGGCGCTCGGCATTAATGGGTACAACAAGCTTTATATAAAACCAGCATAAGTCTGGGCTAGTACAAGCAGCCACACACATGCACATCGTCATATGAGCGAAATATTCTCAAGCATGACGTTAAACCCAGTTTCACCTCACTTCACCTTCTATGGTGCACGAGCTTTATGTGCATGTGACACTACATTCTACTCCATTGAATCAGAGTGATCTCCCTTGTTTGCTGAGAAAAATCACATAATGCGCTAGTAAAATATTTACTGATCATTTTGGCCTCTACATTGATATCATTCTCAAACAAATAGTCTATACCATACTCAGATACATAAGAGTTACTAATGGGGTCGGTGGTCAGACTTGCTGACTTGGTTGACACATTTCATAGTATTCCAATTGCAAAGATCGATGGTCATAATGTTGATCACTGGATTGTCTCGATTGTTTACAGATTGCAGCCATATAGCTAGCTGGAGTATTAATGAGTGCAGCATTTAACAAACAAATATAAGGGTTACTTTAGTGGCCACTCTACCTTTATTCTAAAGCTCATTTTGTGTTTTTCAGGAGCTGGCTCACCAACAATTATGCAAAGTTTGTGGTGCCGTACTTCTACTACGACACTTGGGCCATGTACAGAACTCACTGGTACCTGTACCCTGGGGTGCAGACGATGACTAGAGGACAGCGGGTTCAACACTTCCTGCAATCCAACGCCATGATGATGGTCCACCACGTTGCACTACCCCTGGTGTTTTTCCCTTTAGTGCTGGTAGGTGGTCTAGTGTTGTCTGGCTGACTAGAAACATAATGATCAAAGTGTTTGCTCTTAACAAAGTGTGGATTCTCAAGATATTTAGAAATGTCAAAACAAACAGTTTAAAGTTAAAAACTACCGGTGCATTTCCCATGTTTTCTCTCCAACTTCACTTTCCATCCTCAGCCTTCAGTGTGTAGAGCTGTATCAGAGTCAAAACACCGATGACGGTGGGTTGTAGGTAGGGCTGGCTATCTATAGAGAATGACAAGTAAATATCGATAAATATCAAAAGATGTAACTTTGAGCAACAAAAAACACCCTGAAAGAAATCAATTTATTACTCACCCGTTGAAGATATCACTGTTTCATAATTTTACAATGTTATTATATATTGTGTAATAACATCGCGTGATGCTGTACGTATGACGTCAAAGTGGTTTACAGTTATGACGTCACAATGCTAATACCTCTGTCACAATGGTATTAAAGTAAGGCCAGAAATGCTTTGGCTTCAATATCAATATGATGAATTTGACACAAGATAAAAGCACATATATGATACATGTACGACTCTACCTAGTTGGATATTAAAGCTCAGATGACAAAAATGCACTTGAGGGATGACTTCACAGGAGAAATTTTGACGTTTTAACAACATTCATAAATATTCTAAGTACAAACTGTAGTTTTGAAATACAGACTATAATTATTCATATAGCCTCAACTAATTAAATTACATAACTGATTGTAAAAAGTTTTGGGTGTTTTTTTTAACATCTATATGTGAAAAAGATGGAACTCTTGTATTAGTCATATTCAAAATACTTATGTAAAAGTCTTAATTCAAATCGCATAGATAATCTTGTTCACCCATAGAAGTTTCACTTTGTGTATGAGCACTGAACTTGCAACATGCGACTTGATATCTCTGCAGAACAATTAATTTCAAATTTATACCAGTATTTCATACTGGAGAAACAAAGGGGGACACCTCTCGTCAGCTATGACAGGGTTTACCGTAGAATGTGTAAAACCCTTAATTTGACATATAGTCAGGTTTATAAAGTTGTAAACAATTCAGTCACCTCAGAGGTCGTGTCAAAATCAAAACCAGGTAGGAAACACAATTTGGACAGCTTTGATAAGGGTGTCCTACGCCACGCAGTTTATAAACTGTATGAACGCAAAATCCCACCGACGTGTGCTAAAATACAAGATGAGATCAAGGATACAATAAATGTCTCGAAAACAACACTTTTTGTAGCTCTGGTAGAAATGGGGTTCAGGTACACCAAAAGGGGAGATGACAGAGCTGTGTTTAGAGAAAAGTATTCAATCCTGTCCATGCGATCAGCTTATCTCAGAACAGTTGAAGAAAACCGCAATTTGGGGTTTCAAATTATATACCTTGATGAAACATGGTGTAATAAAAATCACCTCAACCGATCGGATATGGCTTCCTTCAGATTGTTCTAAGGCACCAGTGTTACCATCAGGCAAAGGTAGACGCCTGATCATCTTGCATTACCCCAGAAGTGTGGCAAAAGGCTGAAGACCGTGTTCTCAAAATCTAGGACGCATACCGTCTGCGGGACAGCGTTAACGTCAGCCGAGTTGCACCTGTTGTAATTCCGCTCGAGTCCTAGACCAGCAGTGATACTGACACTTGATATTTTGAGACGGACCCTGACATGTACTGCCAAAACGTTATTCTATCATGAAAGTTTATGTTTGATATTCTCGATGACTCCATTATCATATCGTTAATCATTAATACTTTTTCCTATTTTTCTAACAATTATCAATCTTTTAGGCAGCCCTAGTTGTAGTAACAGATCTCCACCTCCTATAATACCCTGTGAAGATCTGGCTTAGAATTGGTCTTCAGTAACCCATGCTTGTCGTAAGAGGTGACTAACAGGATCGGGTGGTCAGGCTCGCTGACTTGGTTGACACATGTCACCGTATCCCATTTGTGTAGATCGATGCTCATGCTGTTGATCACGGGGTTGTCTTGTCCAGGCTCGATTATTTACAGACCGCCGGATGAAAGCTGAGTGTGGCGTAAAACAACCAACCAAACCAAAGATACATATTTTACGGGTGGCGACTTTTCTGGTTATATATAGGGTCCGGAAAAGCGTCTTTTCCAGGCTGATTTGCATTCCACGTGAAGCCTCAGACAGAATTGTGTTCACCTTACTCACAACAAAGAACTGTATTGATTGTACTTATTTCATTGTGACATAGACTGATGTAGACGTAAATCAATTTTAATAGTCGAGCTTAAGTAGCACACGCCGCTGGAGATGTAAGACCCTGGTTTTATTGTATCCCGCCGCCATTTAGCTTGAATATTGCTGAATGAGGCATAAAACAACAATCCAATCCAAATCCAAACCATTTAGTTGAATACATGGTGTGGTGGCATTCTACACCTACACACAAGTTTCACCATCACCTCCATGCCCAGTAACTGCGTCACTACCCTCTCCTCCAGAGCCAACCACTTTAAACCTCACCTGACTTGCTCAGACTAACAACCTGTGAAGATCTGAGTTAGAATTGGTTTTCAGCAACCCATGCTTGTCATAAGAGGCAACTAAGGGGATTGGTTGGTCAGGCTCGCTGACTTGGTTGACACCTGACATCGTATCCCAATTGTGCAGATCGATGCTCATGTTTTTCATCACTGGATTGTGTGGTCCAGACTCAATTATTTACAGACCGCCATCATATAGCTGGAATATTGCTGAGTGTTGCTTAAAACTAGACTCACTCATTCACTACTCAAACTGACCTAGAGTACACCTATAGTGGTAGCTCAAGATTCACTTGAATGACGTTATACATTATGTAATCTACAACCTGACAAAAAACAAATCTCAATAGCTTTGAAATCCCAATCAGATTTTTACCTGTTGTTATTTTTCATGTTGGCTTTGTGAAATTTTGGATATTTTTTAGAAGTAAAACTAATCCTGTCAGCATGTTATATTCAAGTCCGTCCTTTTTTGCAGTATTTTCGAGAAGGAAAGGGTGATTTCTTTGTTGGAGTGTTTTATCTCTTTGAAATGGCTGTACCATTTATTGCTGCCAGATTTGCCTTAGTGCAGGTTTGTATTACCATATTTTCTTGTTTATAGTGCGTACTAAGGCTGTTACGATTCACTCGCGTTTCACTTAGTGAGTCACAGTAAGATCCTCAGGGACCGTTTATAAGTTATGGCTAGGATGGGTGATGATGATTTTAAGGGTGGGGTGGGGTGGGGTGGGTGGTTCACCCATTTTGTTCTGGGGAGGTAGGGGGTGTCATGGATTTTGTACACGTTTCTAGGGGGATCAGCAATTTTGTACATAAAAATATTTTAAAATTATGATTAAAAATATTGAAAGGGGGGGTCATTGACTTTGTACATGACATGCATGGGGGTCACTTACTTTGTACATAAATTTTAGGGGGGTCATTCACATTGTACATGCTTCTCCATAAAAATCATCATCTCTTTCCCCCCCCCAATAAATTATGAACGTTCCCTTAACATGGGTGATTTTTTGCACGAAGGGTTCAATATTTGAAACAGCCCAGCCGATTATTGTTATTATTGTTATTTCAGTGTATGGCTGAGTTTGCTTTCACTTACATGATAGCTAATGTTGGCTTGTTACCGTAGTATTAACCAATCAGTAAGACCTGACTCTTGATAAATATCATTAATGGTAAATCAAACTGATAATAGTAAACATGATTAAACATGGTTTGATACACAAGTGTATCATGTTTTGTATTTTGGCCAAAAGCAGTGCATCAGTGACCTGTGACAGAACCAGTCATCTTGCAGCTAAATATATTCACAGATATATAAATATGTTCATATATTCTTGGATTATTTGTAAACTAATTGTTTGACTGGCATTGTAGAAGTTTGGGAAGTAATAACGATACATACAATGTTATGGGTAACAACGTCTTGTTTATTGCATATAGCAACATTTAGATGCAAATTCTTACATCCTTATCAAGTATATCAAGTGAAATATGGAGCACTTCAGGTTTGGTAACAGTGTAAGAATCTACATGGAAAAGTTGCTACGTCTAATAATATTTGTAGTTTCCTTATTTGTGAATGGTTGTCTTTCAGCTGAAGCTGCAACACACCGTCCTGTACATCGTGGTGGGGCTGATGATGATTGCTATGTTCTTCATCAGCCGTGTGTTGATATTCCCATATCTGTACTGGTCGTACGCTCGTTACAAGGACATCCCCATCAGCCACGTCCCCTACACCATCCCCATCAAGTGCAACGTCAGCTGCCTCGGACTCCTTCTTCTGCAGTTCTACTGGCTGTACCTAATGATCCGGGGTGCATTTAGAGTGTTTTATAAGATCTACCTTCAAAGGAAAAGCAGCTGATGGCTACACCCTGATGTATACAGAATCTAGACGATGTATACATCAATGTGACCCTACCAGGGAGATAATTCTACCCTTGATGATGAAACATCACATCTTTTATTCATCCATCTCATAAGGAATAACTGATCAGTTGTATAAACATATACGGTATTTGTCATATTGCTTCCTGACTTTCTCATAGACCAGTCTGAAAGTAATCATTGTACAAGCCAGTGTATAAGACCTCATATCTGCACAACAGTCCATATGTCCATGTGTATTTTACAGGTTGTTACAGATAAAAGCATGTCAGAGGGGGTATACTCCTCCATCTTATCCAATAAGTTTTATCAAAGTTTCATCAGAGTTTTAACCAAATTCAACAACTTCAACTTGTGTACATTGGTTAGATGTAGAGCTCCAGATAAGATTTAGCTCATGTGGGTACTGTATACCCACTGTATTTTTTTTTGGAGTGGGTATTATGAATTTTGAGTGGGTATTTCATTTTCCGTTACCCACTGCTTTCAAATATGTGCGTATTTCACATATTTCACGTATTTCAGTCATTTTACTCACCTAAGTATGAGTAAGTTTACTAAGCAGGTATGTTCTGCCTTATGTCATACCTAATCAAAGCCAACTTTAATATAATGGAAATGATTTCATAAAAAATCACTCATCCTATACTGACAGTACAACTTGATAGCAATCGATGTCTTTTTCATTACGCAAGCGATTTTTATAAATATATTCCGTACGCATTTGTTTTAAACTTTTTGCAAATCTGACATTTTAAATGCGTAATTGGTACGCAACAATTATTTTTCAATGCGTAATTGGAAATTTTCTATGCATATTTTACCCAGATACGCAGCTTATCTGGTCCTCTATAGATGTATCCCTCTTTGAATACAGTAATTTCTGTTGATGGGAGAGTATATCCACTGAAACTTAACGAGAACATGAAAAAATTCAACACGTTGAACTTGTGTATGTTTTTAGAAGTATATCCCTTTGTTTGCAGCAAATAAAGTGGGAGAGTATATGTACTGAAACTTAATGAGACATGTATAGTGAAAAATTCAGATTTACCATGAAACACAGTATCAGCACTGTCCCGAAGGTACCAGGATTCACAACCTTGGCACTTTGTTAAAGTTAAGTGATTTGGATGGAATGATATATTAAAGATCATTCCCCACTTCTGATCTCTTTGCTGCAATACTTTTCAATTTAACTCAAGGTCTATTGTACTGTAAGATACACCTAATCTATGCTCATTCAGCCTTCTAAAGATTATTCATGCAAATTATTTCCCTTTGATTCAAGACTTGTATTAAGATCAGTTTGGTTAAACTTTCATGTCTGGGATTTGAACCCGGTATTTTAAGAATCCACTTACTATTTTTCCATTCTTAATTCTTAAAAGTTGTCTGAAGCAATGAAAATGGACTTCTCTGTTCATCTGGTGTTAAATCTACCTGGATTTTTTATTTTATTGTACGTGTGTATATCAAGCAAAAGTATTATCATGTTGATGACAATCTCAGTCTAAAATATAAACTGAAAGTATTGAACACGTATTATGATGGAGTACTTCGATGTGTGGCATTAAGAAGCATAAAATAAGACGAATTTAAGGATAATTTTTTTTAAAGCTTTGTGAGTACACCGGCACAAGAATCTGTATCGAGACCTCGCACTCACAAATAAATGAAATTGTTTTCAATATATCTGTCTGTATATTGATGCACAATCACGCTTGTGATTAGGGCTGCAATGAATACACTATGTGGCGAATATGATACGTATCATGAATTTTGGGTAACGAATATGAATAATTATTCACGAATACAATATTGTAGTTAAGTGATTGATGTACTTTATGGAATGCCCATGTTGACAGTTTTGATTTGTCACAGCAATAACCAGTGATCTCATGACACTCAAATTTGGTATGTAATAGTTATAGTCGACAGTACCATGTGCGGCCTTGGCAAACTAACATGACTTGCACTACTGCAATGCTAGTACATGTTCCATTCTTGCATATCTCACTTTGGAAAGGACATAAGGGTTCAAGTAAAACATGCTCCCTTAAAAATGTTGTAAATATTCGTTAATATTCGGTTCTGGTGACCACGAATAACGAATTGAATTCATGAAGGGCTACGGTTCGATTCAGTGAATATGCGAGTGAATCGTTACAGCCTTACTTGTGATGACCGAAAAGTCAACCAAACAGTGATAACAAAAGCAATATTTCCTTGTAAATATTGTGATAAATTGCTGTACAGTCACATTTGTAACAACAAAATAGATATTGATTTATGGTCAACCAATCAGCAATCAAGGAAGATATATTCTCTTGTAAACATTGCAGTTAATTGCTGCACAAACTCATTTGTAATAACAATGAATTGTTTTTAAAGTCACCCAATAAGTGATCGGGAAAGCAGTATTTTATGAGATTACTACTTGACTTCATGAAGGCTGTAAGTGAGAGTAAGTGAGGCTTTGCTAGGCTCCCTGGGTAAATGAAAAGTGACAAAGACATTGATGTAATATATATTACCCATCAAAAGTTTAGACTCACTATATGTTATGTATATATATGGTTACATCGAAGATGAATTTGTCCACTAACTTGGGGGAACCAACTGCAAACCTTATGCAGATGAATTGCATGAGGATCGTGCATCAAATTGCTGAAAATCATGTGCAAATATTGTGCATGTGAACAGCTGCGGTTTGGTGTAAAGTTTTGTTAAGAATTCGCCAATTTTCACGGAGTTTCATCATTTATTGAACTCATGACAATAATCTTTCCAACGTTACGAATTTGTTTTACAGTACATCAGTTCATGTGTAAACAGTACCTATAAACAGTGTGGAATATTTTGCAAAATCTAGAACAGTTGACTGAAGTAAGTGGCTACATTTGCTAGTGAGTCTAAACTTTTGATGGGTAGTATATACAGACAAGATTTTTGTTTTGCCATGAATCAATCTGTTGTTTGTGTTGATTTACTGCTGATTGTTGGTTGTAGATAATATCAATATTTTGCCTTATGTTTGTTTCCTTTGGTATTGTGGTGGAAACAATACTCTTTTATTATTTCTTCAAACTTTTCATTACATATTTGAAATTAGTTTATTATAGTGTCTTTGGGGTTACAGTGTACAAAAATACTTTAGAATGATTTTTCATACATTATTTCCGATAGTTTCTTTAAGATACTAAAATAGTATTTAAAGCTAATAATTTCTACTAGAACTGTCTTGTATAATTTGATAAATATTTAGCAACATCTGGTTTACAGTGAAATGTGTTCTAATATGTGCTAAGGAAGTCAGTGACATGTTATGTTTTATACAATATATATATATTCACAAACAACAATTTACAAATGGTGATCCATGGTTGTATGTGGTGTTCGACAGAATCATGTGGACAGACATGTTGACTTGGTGGAATCACATCATCATATCTCAGTTGTGTAGATCACAGCTCATGATGTCAATCACTGGATTGTCTGGTCCAGACATGGTTATTTAACGTCTGTTATCATGCAGGTGGAATATTACGGAATGTGGTCTGACACAAGCGTATCATTCGAGAAATGTGTTCATCATGATTACAGGTGTTGTTGATGACGTGTAGTGGTGTTATTGTGTCCGTGTGTGTGTGTGTGTACAATCCTTCACCTGTATAGGTAACCTGTGAAGGTCCGGGTTAGAATATTGGCCTTCAGTAACCCATGCTTGTTGTAAGAGGCGACTAACGGGATCGGGTGGTCAGGCTTGCTGACTTGGTTGACACATGTAATCAGCTCCCAATTGCGCAGATTGATGCTCATGCTGTTGATCCCTGGATTGTCTGGTCCAGACTCGATTATTTACAGACCGCCGCCACATAGCTGGAAAATTGCTGAGTGTGGCGTAAAACTCAACTCACTCACTCACTCACCTGTATAGGTACTACTCCAATTTTTATAGGGATATTTCTATAGTAAGTATCCAGGTACATCATCGACTGATATATCTGATTACTAAAAGTCAAGCAGTGTCTTACAACCCTAGAATATGTACTTTACTAAGAAAGTGTAATCCTGAATATAACATATGTTACATTTGACCACTTTCTAAATGGCATTGTGTAATCATGTCTTACAACCCGCCAACATTCCAGAACCATTGTGTCCATGATTGTACAAGTGTTGTCATCGATGTGTAAAGCTGTTGACTTATGGCGTCAGTGTGTAAGTTCAGGATCTAGAAGCTGTATATACTACTCAAAAAATGTTAAGGATCACCTCATTCATTCAGTACTACTTGTCATATCTGTCCTGGCATTACATATCAACCATACATATGTTGAAGAATCGAAAGATCATTAACTCTTTGAGTAGTATAACATGTTTAGAGCTTCCAGTATCTTTTAGTATGTGAATCCCATACTTTGCCAAATATGAGACTGCACATTGTATTTCCTCTAAAACATGTTTGTGTGTCCACTGTGATTGTACAGGTGTTGTTGATGACGTGTAGTGGTGTTATTGTGTCCGTGTGTGTGTGTGTGTGTGTACAATCCTTCACCTGTATAGGTCCGGGTTAGAATTTTGGCCTTCAGTAACCCATGCTTGTCGTAAGAGGCGACTAACGGGATCGGGTGGTCAGGCTTGCTGACTTGGTTGACACATGTCATCGGTTCTCAATTGCGCAGATTGATGCTCATGCTGTTGATTACTGGATTGTCTGGTCTAGACTTCGATTATTTACAGACCGCCATATAGCTGGAAAATTGCTGAGTGTGGCGTAAAACTCAACTCACTCACTCACTCACCTGTATAGGTACTACTCCAATTCTCCAATTTTTATAGGGATATTTCTATCTTCACTTGATACACAGATGATTTTCTTACTATAATTAGTATCAAGGTACATCATCGACTGATATATCTGATTACTAAAAGTCAAGCAGTGTCTTACAACCCTAGAATCTGTACTTTACTAAGAAAGTGTAATCCTGAATATAACATATGTTACATTTGACCACATGTCTTACAACCCGCCAACATTCCAGAACCATTGTGTCCATGATTGTACAAGTGTTGTCATCGATGTGTAAAGCTGTTGACTTATGGCGTCAGTGTGTAAGTTCAGGATCTAGAAGCTGTATATACTACTCAAAAATGTTAAGGATCACCTCATTCATTCAGTACTACTTGTCATATCTGTCCTGGCATTACATATCAACCATACATATGTTGAAGAATCGAAAGATCCTTAACTCTTTGAGTAGTATAACATGTTTAGAGCTTCCAGTATCTTTTAGTATGTGAATCCCATACTTTGCCAAATATGAGACTGCACATTGTATTTCCTCTAAAACATGTTTGTGTGTCCACTGTGATTGTACAGGTGTTGTTGATGAC